AGCTGGTCTCTGGGAGGTGGAGTTGGTCTCTGGGAGGTGGAGTTGGTCTCTGGGAGGTGGAGTTGGTCTCTGGGAGGTAGAGTTGGTCTCTGGTAGGTAGAGTTGGTCTCTGGGAGGTAGAGTTGGACACTCACAGTGACGCCCCAAAAGCTCTTGCCGTTTCGCGTCTGTCCACCCAAGAAAAAGGTCCGTTGTCTGGGGGCTCAGACTGAAACTGCCAAACCTAGAACCAAGAGTTGTCGAATAAATAAGTCAAAAGACAACGACCAACTGGAGGTCTGGCTTGAAGGGTAGTGTATTCCGTCAATGCTCCGTCATCACGAGGCGAAGCACGCCTCGGGCCAAGAAGTGTGGCATCGAACTATTTTAGAATCCCTAACGGATGTTCGTTCCGTACGTTCCGTAAAGGGGATTCGTTGCTAGACGAGTGGTGCGACAGTGAGGCTTCCGGAGTATGGTCTAATGCACGAAGCCGATCTCGTCCCGGCAGGCTGCATCCCTACGTACTTGGGCCCAGAAATCTCTCTCTTTGCGCTCGGCTTCGGCTTCGCTTTCGGCGTTGAGACACGTGGGGACCGTGGCAAAGCGCATCTCGGAGGCTGTGCCGTCTTTATTGTACTCGAGTACCACGTGGGCTTGTGCGTAACTGCCGATGTACCAGCCGTCGTTGCTGGGCTTGTGATATTTCGTGGGGTCTCGGGGTGCGTCCGGTGCAAGACGTTCGGCGTGCCCGGTTATTGTTGCAACGCATCTGGCATCCATGACGAGATGTTTCGCTTGTCTCTCTAGATCTTGGACGAGTTCCGGAAGTAAGCGGTAGGACTTGACCAAGTCGCCAAGGTTAACCACCCGCCAGTACTTGATGTGGTCGTCCATCTCGGCCTGGACGATGGCGGCTGCGTCTTTCTGGCTGAGCTCGAGGAATACATCCGGTCGCCGCCCGCTGGGCGTCAACGGTCTCCAGGTGCATTGCCAGGGGAATGTCGTGCACATGACGCCTTGCTTGTCGGCTTCGTCCTGCACGGCCTTGGACATACGATCTGCATGAGCTCCCCACGCGCCATTCACCACCTCCCACACGGGCCATTCCCCGTCCATCGTGTACACCTTGTCAAAGTCATGTACGATCCACTCGTTGACCGGGATGCGGTGGTTGTCCGGAACGAACTTGTCAGGACTGTTGCATAGCGTCTCGCACTTACGCAAATTTATGGTGTCCATCAAACTGCTCGGCGCGGCCGGGAGGCTCACTAGTGGTCCGGGAGCGCAACGCGGGCATACCTTCCCACGACCGGGAGACCAAACTATTACCTGTGGTATCTCAAAGTCGAGCATCAGCATCGGGCGACAGATGCCCTTCCAGACACCCGAGACATAGTCGCCCGAGGGCTCATATGCGCTGTAGACCTTAACTAGCGCCTCACGGAACTCAGACATCGTCGCCACCGCTTTCTCCAACACGGCCAACACATCTAGGTGTTCGTCTTCGCTACTTTTTAATTCACCACCCATCCGACCATGTCTAAATAAATCCAAGAAGACACCTTGAGCCATTTTGACTCGCTCAGGATCATCAGCAGCCGTTTTAGCGTCATCGTACTCGTCCGCACCTTCGAGGTCCAGGCGCACGGTGGGACGCTCTTCTCGGCTCAGCAGCTGGATCTGATCGCGGCTGAACAACGTACCTTCGTTGTCCAGCAGCTGGTCTACTGTCTGCAGGGCGACTGCCAACAAGAACTTCGGCGAAACCTTGTCGTGGTAAGCAAGGCCTAGTCTCACGCAGTTGGGCATCGCAGGTGGAACGCCACGAGGAGCTTCAGATCGGCGGTCAACAACAGGGCGCACGCTGATGAGCGAGTCGCAGATCTCCTCACCCGGATAATCAACATCAAAGGTCACACCAGTCATCACCGACAACAGCGGTGAGACTTCTTGGGCATCTGTAGCAGTAATACTTCTCATTGAATTAAACTTTTACACTGCCTTAAATATAATCCACGACAGGCGGCTCACGTCCACGACGTCTGTCGTCAGCAGAACCGCGCAGGTCCTCCGTGGCTGAATTCAGGCCGCCGTCGTGCTCGTGGGTGGTAGACTCGACCATGGTTTGCTGCTGTTCTGCGTCCCCCCTTTACCGGCCCGTAGACGCAACATGCACGCGGCGAGTGACGACACACGGCTACGACAAACCAACGACGAAGCGGCTCACGTCCGTTTGTGAGATGTGCTTGACACCATTCGGTATTCCGCGAGCAGCCCTGACAGATAGCGGTACGTGGCTGCGACCGCAACCTACAGACTGCCGCGGAACGGCATCAACGACAGCGTCCGACAATTGCTCCCCGGAGTGGCCCGCGGTTCCGGAGTGGGCTTGGAGGACAAAGAGGCCTATATAGCATCATACGACGCGTCGCATAACGCCACACACGAAGACCTTTCCAACTGACCCCCTTTCCTACGCCCCCCCCCCTTTCCTACGCACGGCGCCAACCGGTGAGAAGAGACATGGTCCCGAGAGGAGGCCTGCGGGGTGCGGACTTCTGGTCATATCGGTTGGTTAGTTGTCGGTGGTTATCAGCGGCGATGAAGATGTCGTCTTGGTAGAATCTTATATGTTCGGCGAATGGTAGCTGTTTGAGAATGGTACCCGGTGGAAGTGTTTCGGTGCATTGGTGGCACCCATCGGCATGCAGTTGTAAGCGTAGTGTTTGTCCGATGTTGGAAAGCGTACGTCCCGATTTGATCGGGCGGTAGTGGTATAGCGTGGAATGCTTTACTGAGGTCGATCTTCGCTAGTAGTGGTTGCTGCACGCCCCATGTTATTATCGGCCAACAGCT